GATTTTTCCATATGGGCATTGCAAAACAATATGGATGCAGTAGAGGCCTGCAGTATTAAAGACCCTAGACTCTATACTGCTGCTGAAACTGGTGGGACTGGAATTTAACTCTCTCAAGGTCCACAATATCAGCATGACATGCTTTGGTGTAGATCATGTGGCCTGCCCTCCAGCCCCACTGTTAGGATGCCTTAGCAACACAGGCTCTGAATTGCAAGGGAACCGAGGATAATGGCCATCCTGTCCTTTATGCCCTCTATGGGATAACAAGGAGACACAAGGGCACATCCTTGATCCTGATGGACAGTGCTATTCAAAACAAATTCTGGACTTGCATGCACGAGGCTCATGCACACATACAGTGGGATGTGTACTAACCGCAACATCTTGAAGAATCACAGTTACTGTTGAGTAAGTAACCGTTCTTTATTTCTGACATCACTAACACTTCCCTTCGATTTGGGAAGCTCAAGACTGCATCGATCCATCCAAAGTAAGGAATGCCACAGACTGAAAAAATATTTTCAGATATGTGGCTTTGTTTTTAGGCATGTTAATGTTCTGCAGAGAGTCTGTGAAACGTTTGTAGACAGTCAGTGTTGGGGTTGTGCTGATAGTCTCTTAATGTTCTTAGTTGGCATTTGTGGTCCTGGTGCCTGGATTGGAGGCTGCCATGTGTTTCTACTAAGTTTTGCTCCCTTTTGAAAATAATTTGGATGGAAGTAACGATAGTGAGGAAAAATAGTGCATGTCTGGTGGTGTGTGAGGTACATTATAATAGCTGCTTTTTCCTTGTGTGTGTGTAAATGTAATATTTGTGAACAGTGTCAGCTATGAAGCCTTCTACCCACAAAACAGGTCCAGAACAGGTAATGGCAGTGCATATGTATCCTCCCCAGTTCATAGGTGTAATTCAGCCCTGACATGAAGAGAACATCTCTTAGGGTAAAGAGGTAATTTGGTTCCTATGCCCATTCAATTACTGTTTTGCAGTAAGGGTCAGTTAGTACTTATAGCAGTGTCCACTGGGAATTGGAGTGAGATCTGCTAATCCTTAATGTTAAGAAAAAAACAAAAAAAATTCTTAACCTTCTGAATGAATGGAGTTATTAGGTCCGATGAGGTGTACAATCCCACACTGGAGAGGAAGGGGCCAAGGAGGCTGCTCTGGGCCCACGTCACACCTGCAAGGCATGCACCGGCTGGTGGAGGAGCTTAAAAGGGGAGCAGAGTAGCTCACTTGCAGGAAGCCAGTGGAGGTGACCTTTGCTCTGAACTCTGCAAAAGGAGCACTATGGGCGGCCCAGCTGCCAGAGCTCCTCTCTACTGATGGTCTGCCCAACTTGCTGAAGGAAAAGGACTAGATATTTGCTAAGTTGAAGATTTCTTTGATTTATTTTGTTTTACGTGTCTTTGCTGTTTCCTGTTGCGTGGAACTCCAGAGTGCAGGACTCAGTGACCTACCGTTGGACATTGGAACCCGGAGGAGAGGGTAGGCTCAGGTTCCCCTACCCACCCCTATGGGGCTGGAGGAAAAAAGTCTCTTCCTGATACTAGAGACTGAGGACCAGAAGACCCCACATTCTAGAGAGTCCCGCCTCTGGGAATTCGGCCAGGTGAAGCCTGACGCCCCTTGTTGGTCATCAGAACTAGCGTTTGTTGGATTCTTTACATACTCCGGAAGACATGGACGCAACTTGTGGCCCAGCCAGAAGTCTGAGCCTCAGAAGGGGGCAGACTACTGCAGTGCTGGAGCAACTATCAAGAGCGGGGCACCAAGACAGAAGAGCGCCTGTAATGCCTGATCACTAGGCAGCACCTATGGGGGAGCAGAGCCTTTCACACTAGATAACATGAAAGATACATTTGCTCTTTCATTAACAGGCCTGTTCCATACCAACACTCCTGGAAGTGCATAGATTACTTTGGTGTGTTGTGGTGAATTCATGTTGAAGTTTTGTTCCCGTCGTTATCCACTGGTTAAAGGGAAAATGTGAAATATGGTTTTCCCCTCAGATTTCCTCTTCCTTTTGAAGTAAATGTAGCATGAAATTTGTAATTTGGAATATTAATGATATGCATTATAAGAGAGGAAATAGTGTTTTGGATTATGTTACTACTGCTTAGGGTTTTTCTATCCAGGTACTTAAATGGCTTCCATCACCATACGTAGCTGAGCAGCTGTCAGGTATTTAAGTATAGAAATATATAATCTTGCTTCAGTTTCAAATATTTGTTTTCTTCACTTGCTTGCTGAATATGTGCATGCTTCTGTAGGGCAGAATACCATTCAGTAGAGACACTTAGTGATCTTCAGTCATTTCTGCCACTAGGTCTACTAAAACTACTAACAAAAGTGGTGAATGGGCAGATTGCATACTAAGTGGTAAAGGGTATGTCTACACTGCAATGAAGAATGACTCAGGCTCACGGGGCTGTTTCATTGCAGTGTAGGCTTCCAGGCTTGGGCTGGAGCCCGGGCTCTAGGACCCTCCCACCTGGTAGGGTCCTCAAGCCTGAGCTCCAGCCTGAGCCCAAAAGTCTACACAGCAAAGAAACAGCCCTGTAGTCCAAGCCCCGTGAGCCCAAACCAACTGGCAGGGCCAGCCACGGATGTCTAGTTGCTGTGTAGACCCACCCCTTGTGCACGTAGAGCTTTATAACAGGTAGAATGTGCCTTACAAAGAATGGAATCCCTTGCCCTGGGGAGCTTTTAGTCTAAAATAATGAGAGTACAATTCAAATCTGAACACACACAGTGGTGGTTGATCATTACAGCTGGAAAGCTTTGCAAAAAGATGTATTTCCAGGAACGTTTTGAAGCAGGAAAGAAGAGTGCTTAGGGACATACGTTAGTTGGCACGCAGTTCCAAGTGAAAGGGACAGTATGTAAGAAGGCAGAGACACAAAGGAATAGTCAATGGGTGGAAAGTAGGCAGCTGGAAGGGGGAGTGTAAGAGCTCATCAAGGAAGTGATGTTGGCAGGAAAGGAGTTGTGAAACACGTGATTGCTTTTCCCCCTATTAAGGCACTGTCTGTGCTAAAATATAACAATTGAGGGACCCAGTTACAATAGTGAAAGTAATACTGTAGACGGGACTGAAACCCATATATGGGCTAACACTTTAGCAATCCAGATTTTCTGCGTAGTGGTACGTGACAACTTTTCATCCTTGTCAGGGGACAGTCATGTCATACGTAGGCTCCCTGGCTTTTTTTTTTTTTTTTAAGATTATAGTGTGGATGGTGCTCTAAAGAGATGGGCAGAGTGACAAAAAATGATACTGTTTGAATTGGCATTTTGGATGGGCTGGAAGGAGGAGAGGCCTGAAAATAGGAAGTTTTAGTAGTTGAGGTGGGAAATAATTTGTCCATACTCTCGTTCTAGCAGTGAGAGGAGAGTCCGTCTCATAGACGTTATGGTCAGAAGGGACCACGTGATCATCTAGTCTGGCCTCCTGCACATCGCTGGCCACAGAACCTCACCCGCCCACTCCTGTGATAGACCCCTAGCCTCTGGCTGAGTTACTGAAGTCTTCAAATCATGGTTTAAAGACTTCAAGTTACAGAAAATCCACCATTTACACTAGTTTAAATTCGCAAATGACCCAGGCCCCATGCTGCAGAGGAAGGCAAAAAACCTCAGGATCTCTGCCAGTCTGACCCAGGGGATAATTCTTTTCCGACCTCAAATATGGCTATCAGTTAGACCCTGAGCATGTGGGCAAGACCCACCAGGCAGATACCTGGGAAAGAATCCTCTGTAGTAACTCAGAGCCCTCCCCTTCTAGGTCCCATTGCCACCAGTTGGGGATTTTTGCTAGTGGCAGTCATCAAAGGGCCACATGCCATTGTAGGCAGTCACATCATACCATTTCCTCCATAAACTTACCAAACTCAGTTTTGAAGCCAGTTTGGTTTTTTGCCCCCACTGCTCCCCTGGGAAGGCTGTTCTGGAACTCTCTTTGGTTATAAGATAAAATAAAAAGCCTGAATGAAGTGGGGATGGAAAGGAGGCAAAAGAAATTAATTGCAGTTTGACTAGTTGGTGGTCACAAGAAGGATGGATTTTAGTAACATTGGTGTGATGGAAAGAGTTCTGAGTGGGAAGCAACTCAGTTTGGGGTGTGTTGCAGTTGAATTAACAAGAAGACATCAGAGTTGGAGATGTGAGACAAGACAGAGGATGATAAATTGGTGGATAAATCCTTAAGAGGAAGAGGAGCATGTTTGCAAATATCAGTAGTGCTCAGAGCAAACAGGCTTTTTAAATTTTAAACAATTCTCTTAAGTCTCAACTGTGTGGTGCTTTTGATTATTCTACATGGGCTCAAACTAGAACTTGAAGGATCAGCACAGTACCACCCAGAGGCCTTGCTGTTCATATTTTGTTTTTGTATGTACAATATTTTGCTTTTTTAAAAAGATTCATTCTCCTATATGTGTGTCACTTATAGTTTCTGAATTGAATTTAGAGTTCCTTGTCTTTGAGAGAGGAGCAAATTACAAGCAAAAGTACTCTTGGCATTTAATTGCCTGCCTCCTTCTATTCAGTCTTTTCTGGATGCAACAAAGGTACAACCTCCTGCCAGATTACATGAGTCCTTAGGGCAAGTGAGGCTGCCATGACATTCAGTAATGCATTATAAGACATTAAGTAAACTATTAATGAATGTCTTCCAACACTGTTCCTTTTAAGGTTCATTTAACTAATTAAATATCAGGGCAGCTTCAGCATATGCCTGGTTATCTTCGTATCTGTATATAGTTTTCCAACTTTGCCAATAAAGTTTTTTTAAAAAGCCTTTGGTCAATTCTGATAGAGAAATTTTTTCCTAACAAAAGGCCTGAGTGGTGTGGCTCAGATTAAACTGGGCCACTGCCACTTGAAAAATGTAGCCCTTAAATTCCTTAGTTTTGAAGACCAAGGAAATAGAAAGATGATACACTGTACTAAAAATAACTCTTGTTACCAAATGCTGTCTTTTGATTTCTTATAGATCCTAATTATCTCATGGCTAATGAACGCATGAACCTGATGAATATGGCTAAACTGAGTATAAAGGGGTTGATTGAATCAGCACTTAATCTGGGCAGAACACTAGATTCTGACTATGCACCTCTTCAGCAGTTCTTCGTAGTGATGGAACACTGCCTTAAACATGGCTTGAAAGGTAAGAATGTGCCTGTAAATGCCTACCTGACTTCTCTGCGTTGTGTGTGGGGGGGGGGGTATGAACGCCAAGGATCGTCGTTTTCAAAATCTAACTTTTTAATTTTACCTTCCAAATTAGACTAAATAAAAGACAGATACTATATTGCCACATTTTTCTTAAGCAATGCTTTTAAAATGATGTACCAGTTTTACAGGTAAATAGTACAATCCCTTTGGAATTATACATTGCATTCTGTGTGATAAATTAATCAGTCATGATTGATGTTCTTATGGTGAATGCCAGAGGCATTCGTTCCCATCAGCTATTTATTCTAGTAATAATAATGAAAAAATTGACCTTTAAGAAGCAGAAGGACAGATGTCCTACAAAGACATGGTGTAAATTAAAGTGACTTCAGAATGTCCTGTGCTATGGAGTTTTGGTACGTATATAGAGTCCTTGTAGTACATAAAATAAAATGGACTGCCGCTCTAGCATACCTGGGGTATACGCAGCCACAAGGGGGACAAGGATTCTTAGGTGGCTTTACACTAACTTTTTGCCCCTCTGAACCTAGGTACTGCCAGGGCTGAGCCAATCCCCATTGCAAATTTGAGTAGCTTCAAGACTGCTCTAACTGATGCCAGTGAATGCCCATTCCCAAGGGACTGTTCTGCCAATCATGATTGCTCACATGCATTGTGCTCCAGACTACCCACCATGCCAGCAGGGCCAGAAACGGCTGATGTTGGACTGGTTACATCAGCCCACAGTTAGGAGAATCCTCAGCTGCTGTTGCAAGGCAGTTTTAAAGTCCTCTTGTCCCCGTTGAAGCGCTGAGGATCTGACACCGTAGATTCCAGCACCTGATAAAAGAATAAATTTTTTTCATGCACCAAGCCAAAGAACTTGTACTCCTCAAAGGAACCAACACAGATGTGTTGTGTTATGTGGTGTATGTAGGTCTTTTTTCTCTTAACGTTGGGGAAACATTTGAACTGGTGATGTATTTTTCAAGCCACTGTTTAAATTTCCTTTTTCCAAAACCTAAATCCCAAATCTTCGAAGGTGTGTACACAATTTTGTGTGTGCCAGGCTTGCATAATGGAACATCATTGTGCGTGCATATAGGTGTATATATGCACAAATCCAAAATTACATGCCCAGTTGGCAGTTTGGCCTTAAAAGCCAACATTATGAACTACAAGAACACTGTATTATTTTAAGTGAGCACTTTAAGTACGTTACATGAGTTGAATGATCATTGGATTAAAAAAAATCTTAGCTAAAATGACCCCAACAGAAAAGACTTAAGAATTCTGAAAATAAATAGGAGAGAGATTTTGACTTCCCTTTCATGGAGGGAGTTGCACAGAAAAGACTGTAACCCTGGGAGGCTCAGCCTCTGGTCTGATTTAAATATGATCTTGAAACGATGAACAAAGTCAGTCCATTTGATTTCATTTGACCTGTGACGACATAAATTGAAAAAATCTGCTCCTGGGCATAATCATCTGTAAGGAGTGTGTAGGGTTGTCTTTTACAGTTTCTTGTAATTTTTACATCAATTTTGTTCAATGTGGATTGAATACAATTGACTAGGAACTGTTGCTGAATGATTGGTGAGAAAATTACTTCCTCAGCAAACTTATGATGCCCTAACTTTCTGTTCCTCCTCATGCATTAGAAATGTAGTATTGTTCCTCTTGCTTACTGTAGACTGAGCTTTTCTCATTAGTTTTGTTACGTTTGTAAACTTCAGGGTTCTGTGGCTTAAACCTGAAGTCCACTTTTCAAAATGGGCAAGCAGTGTGTATTTGATTTTATAATCTGTATACCTAATCAAATGTTAAACAGTCTTCACTGATTTTTTTTTTTTTACTGCCTTTATGAAATATTGTTACTTTGTTGAAACGAAAATTGCAGTTGTTTTGAAAAATGGACAGGAGGTTGTGTAAATTCTCTGCAGCTTCTATAAGTACCTCCTGCAAAGCTATTCTAGTGGTTTACAATAGTACTTATTGAATTACTAATTATTATGCTGGCTGTAGTAGCAGTCTGCTTGGGGGATTAATTTCCCTTTTTTATAACAGTAGAAGAACATCAGCATTGCAAAGTGGGGCTACAATGCAGGTTTAGAAAAATTAACTTGTCGCATCAGTAGTGAGTGAAAAAATTTCCATCATGAGTGTGGATGTCTAAGCTATTAACTTCTGCTTTCAAGTTAGAAACAGAAACAAACTAGTTATTGTTTGGATGGTTATTTTCAAAACCCTAAATGTTGTCTACCCAACTTTGCAAAAAGACGGCTTCCTTGAATCGAGTGCTGTCCATAGCTTTGGCATGAACAAATTTTGGATCAGTTTCACTGCTGCTGTTCAGAATCCTATGAATAGTTGTGAAATTGTCAACCAAATTAATTTCATGCTGTTGCTGCTTGAGAAAGCTATGCGCAAGGGTGGAGGCAGGTGTTGGGGAGAGGCTATGGGAGGGGTAGAGTAGTGAAGACCCTACCCTTTGAAGGAGTGTTGGAGGCTGAACAGGAGAGTAAAGAGACAAAGCTTCCAGTAGCTAGAAGGGATGGAGTTGTTACTTACTAGCATGATGCTGATCTGACAGATGATGCCACCCCACACCTAGAAGAAAGGAAGGCCCATGACAGCATCCTGGTAGAAATTCTAGCCCAGCAGTTGCTATTGGTGAAGAGGCTAGGGTGCTCACCTGTATGTTGTTCTGGCTCTCGCAGGTGGGCCCCTAGGTACCATATTTGGTATCTGCCTTTGCTTAGGAAGTGTCTGTTTCAAGCCCTGAGCAAGTGCAGTGTCCTTATACATACTGATAGCAATATCTCCTATGCGTGAAGACATAAAAAGCAATCAGTCACACACTGGGCAAGTAGTAAGTCTAATTTTCTGGTTCTGAATCTATCCCTGAACCCAGCTGTTTACAGGAAGTTAAATATAAATTGCAGGAGAGCATTGTCAGTAATAATTCTGAAACCAGAACTTTCTAGAGGTCTGGACTGGAGCACCCTCCTGTAGCAGATTGTGGCATGACTGGCACACCTGCCTCAGTTTCTTCCCCCCACCCCCCAGAGTCCCCAGAAATAGTCTACGGAGTCCTCCGAAGTATAAAGATAGTCCTTGTGGGGTTCATTTATTACAAAAGTTCCATGAACATAAATCATAACCAAGGTCCCACAACCATCGCCCAGATTTCCCCAGCATAGTCCAGATGGTACATTCAGTATACAGCTCCAGCATCCTTCCCCAAGCCTCGGCTCTCCAGCACAGCCCTTTCAGCTAGTGTGCAGCCCTGCTCTTCCTGGTGGGACCCCTCACAGTCTCTGTGTTGGGAGCATCTCTTACTCCCCCAGCCCTGTCATGGCTCCTCTGGGTCCTGGTCTCTGGCCCTGGAGGTGTCAGTGGATAAGCTGCACAGCCCTTCCAGCTGATGTGCAACCCTGCCATCAACCTTCTCCAGCTTAGAGCCAGCAGGAAACTCCCTCTGCTTCTTGCTCCTGCCTTCAGCCTCTTCCAGTACTGGCTCTCTGGCTTGAGGACGCCAGCCAGCAAACTCCTCTTGCTGCTCTCCCACCTTCAGCCTTCTCCCGGATCCCAGACATACAGTCTCTTCCCAGGGAGGGCCTTCAGAAAGCTTTCTGCTCTCTGCAGCTTTCCTGAGAGACCCTCTCCTGAATGATTCTCACCACGGCTTTCCCTGACCTTACAGCCCCCAGGTGTCACCTTGCCCTCCTTAATTTGCCAAATGCAGCCTCTGCGCTAGCATAGGAGAGCTGGCCCTGCTTCATTTACTGGGCCAGACACTCTGGGTCAGTCTCACTTCTGCTTTTAGTTCCACTTTGAACAAATTTGAGAATGTATTTAAGACAGTACAGATGCAAGAGAAACTAATGGTCTATTTATATCTTCTTGTTCTAGCCAAGAAGACTTTTCTGGGACAAAATAAGTCGTTTTGGGGACCTCTGGAGCTGGTAGAGAAGCTTGTTCCTGAAGCTGGAGAGATCACAGCAAGTGTTAAAGATCTGCCGGGGCTTAAGTAAGTGGAATCCTGGGTATGTCTACACTTCTTCAGTAAAACACTCGCAGCTGGCCCATGTCAGCTGGCTCTGGCTCACAGGGCTCAGGCTGCGGGGCAATAAAATTGCAGTGTAGACGTTCAGGCTGAGGCCTGGATTCCAGGACCCTGAAAGCTGGGAGGGTCTCAGGGCCTGGGCTCCAGCCAGACCCTGAACATCAACACTGCAACTTTACAGCCCCACAGCCTGAGCCCTGGGAGCCTGAGTCAGCTGACACTGGCCAGCCGCAGGTGTTTTATTGCAGTGTAGACCTGTCCCCTGATCTGTTGCTTTCCAGGCAGAATCATAGAACCATCGGGTTAGATGGGACCGCAAGGATTATCTAGTCTAACCCCCTGCCAAGATGTAGGATTTGTTATCTAAACCATCCAAGACAGATGGCTCCAGCCTCCTTTTGAAAACCTCCAAACGAAACATACCCAGTTCTTTCAGCCTGTGCTCATATGGCTTCCATTCCATCCCTTTGATCATCTTCATCTTTGTCACTCGCCTCTGGATCTTTTCTATACGTTGGTGACCAGAATTGGACATAGTACTCCAGCTGAGGCCTAACCAGCGCTGAGTAAAGCAGTACTGTCACCTCCGTGACTTGCATGCTATGTCTCTGATAATACAATCCAAAATTGACTCAATGCTGTAGGGTTTAATTGTAAGTAAGAGATAAAAGTGAAAGCAATTAATAGGTCTTTATCTGCAGCTTCTAACCAAAACAAGCAAAGGAATTAGTGTTGGAGAGGATGTTTTCTCTTTATAAAAGAGCAAGGGGGCTTCCTGAACAACTGCACGCTTAGTACTGGCAAGAAATGAATGATGATATGTGGAGGGACCTTATTGAATCTTTCACTCTAGCTCAAGAAAAATGGCATTAAAGAGGGAGGGATTGAAAAAAGAGGGAGAACATTAGATAGGAATTTTCTGTGATACCTTGGAACACTGGAGATAGAGGTTGATTGACTTTTTGTTAAAATCCTTTTCTTTTAATTTAAATAAAAGGAAGACTTGGTAGTGACCCAAAAGGCAAACAAGATGTTAGATTGCGTGAGGGAGACAGAATAGTTCTGGAAATAAAGTACCTTTATATTACATAGCAACCTGAGATACTGTGTTCAGTTTTGCTTCCCCTTTTGAAAAAGAATATAGCAGAAATAGAAAATAACTACAGAAGTGCAACAAAAATGAATAGAGGCGTAGGAAAACTGCCCCATGAGGAGGAACTAAGTATTAAGACCGCTTAGTTCAGAGAGGAGATGAATAGGCAACGTGACACAGGTACATAAAATAACAAATCATATAAAGTATCTCCTGTATTCATAACTGAGGCTCTAATCCTGAAAGTTGTTCCGTGTGGCTAGAGCCTCATGCCCCCTGATTTCACTGGAGTTCTATACGGAGTCTGCCTGCATGGTACAGCTTGTAGGGTCAGGGTGCATTATTTACCCTTTCCTTTTATAAGAGAACAAGGGGATAAACAATAAAATTAAAAGGCGACAAAATTAAAAACAGATTAACCCAAAAACTCCAACCTTTGTACACATGTAAACTGATGGCACAAAATGTTACAAAGGCCCAGAGCACTGTAGCATTAAAAAAGAAAACATTCAAGGATAACAAAATATCTTCGGTTACACTAGCTGGAATAAGAAAATTAAGGCTTCCACATGCTTCATGATACAAGCCAGTTGACTAAGGCCTTGGCTACACTCTGGACTTCACAGCGCTTCCGCGACAGCCGTTTTCACACCCCTGAGCGCAGCAAGTTGCAGCGCTGTACAGCGCCAGTGTAGCCAAGACCTCAGTGCTGGGAGGTGAAAAATAATTTCCCTCTAATCATGCTACTGTTTATATGAGGGATTTACACCTTCCTTTGAAGCATTGGCCACTGGCTGCTCTACAGCATATCAGACTAGGTGAGCCATTGCTCTGATCCAGCATGTCAGTTTCTACGTTTCTAAAACCGTGTACGTTCCACTTGCTGGCCGAAATGGGGGAAGGAGGCAAGCGTGAAAGATTAACTCTCCGAACCATAAAACATTCTTGTGTGATACGTTCAGAACTTGACCTAGCATTGAGAGAACCATATTTAATCAGTACTCCAACTCCCCTGTTTAGCTCTTCAACAGGCTGAGGATTGGTTACCTGAGAGATATTTGGGCACCCACACTGTATTAAAGTCCAGAATGAGTGTGGCTGAATTGTTCTATTAACTTGCCTAGTATAACAATTGCGTTTGACCCATTTCTATATCCATGCCCCATTACTTGATTTCTCTGAACGTTTCCGATAATCTGTGTCTAGATAAGTATTGCTAGCTCTCTGCAGAAACCGCATCCAAGAGGAGTAAAAAGGGAAGATGGGAAATAGAAGAAAAAGACAAATGATTGCATGGATAAACACTGAATGTGGGCACTTGCAGTTTCATACCCAAATTTCCACCTACAGTAATTGCTGAAAGCTGCAACTTTGAGATAATGTGTAGATTGCAGAGACTTCAAGCAAAGTAAGACATTCAAGCTTTGTGTGAATATATATGTTTATAATATGTGAGTAATTTCTTTGTTTTGTTTCTGGGCTTTGGTAGGACGCCTGCGGGTAGAGGAAGAGCCTGGCTTCGCCTGGCCTTAATGCAGAAGAAGCTTTCAGAATACATGAAAGCTTTGATTAACAGAAAGGATCTTCTCAGGTGAGCAATTCTTTCTCTCTTGAATCTGAGAGTTTCGTTTCATTCTCTGTCCTCAAGTGTTGTAGGTCCACTCAAAAGGACATTTTGTAATGCATTTTTATTACTCTGCAACACTGGAGTAACAGCTATACTTGTACTTCTGGTTTGGGACAGCTTGTTTTGAGGGATGGGGAACTGTTCAGCTTTCTGCTTGCGATGCAAAAGCCATTTTCTTCCAGTGTGATAATAACAGCATGCAAAAGATCCAAACATTTCATTTATTATAAAGAGGTGCTGTAACACAGGTAACCGGAGTAAGGGGTCTGTATAGTGGGGAGGCAGTGTTGTTCAGTGGATAAGGCACAGGGCTTTTGGCAAGTCACATCACTTCTCTGTACCTCCGTTTCCCCATCCATAAAGTGGAAATTGTCACAGAGTGCGCCTCTCACTGCTCGTCTGGCGCTACCTCCTGGTCCCTCTGGGGATTAGCTCTCGAGGTCAATGCCCCTTCTGTGGTTGGCACGCCATCGCTCCGTCCATCTCTGGTCTGCAGTTCCTCTCTCTCTCCAGGAACCTCAGTGTTGTCCTCTTCTTGACTCAGCCCTCCATCTATTTCACTCAGCGTTCCTCTTCTTCTCCCGCTTTCTGGGGTACAGTCCTGCAATTCTCTGTCACTCCCACAGTGACCCAGGCAGACTTCCCATTCACTGCCTCTCTAGTGCCACTTCCCCAGCAGCGGGTAGGACAGCCCAGGCCCACCCTCTACTCCGGCTTCCAGCCAGGGAACCCTACAACACGCAGCCAAAATCTGCTCAGTCCCCAACCTTGCTGCGTATTCCCTGGGCTGCTTCCTACTCTTGTGGCTCACCCTTCCTTCTCCCAGGGTCTGCCAGTTTCACACTCCCTCCTCTCAGGGAGCAATGCTGGCTATAGACCTCTGCAGCCTCCAAACACTCCCAGGGAGTGACTGCCCTTTCCCAGCTGCCCAGCCCCATCTGTTGCCAGCTTCCTGGCTTTGTAGGCCCTGCCTCTTCCTTCCCAGCTGAGCCTGTTTACAATCGATCCCTGCACCCTGGCTCTTCCTCCAGGTACAGGCTGTGGCACTATTAGGCCTATGTGGTCACCCCATCACAGCAATAATGATACTCTGTAAAGTGCTTTGAGATCTATGGATGAAAAGTGCTAAGTAGTATTGCATAATTGAATGCCTATTTTTCTTTATGAGGTTTTAATATTTTTGGCTTTATGAATATTCATTTTTTAATTCCTTCAGTTATCTTGAGTGGGGGTGGAAAAGCTTGAAATTACCACTAGGAAAATGTAGGGTGGTCTATTGTCAGAGGGGAGGTTTATAACAGAGAAAAATTAGGATATGCAACTTTTTAAAAGTTTAATATTAGCTTAGCATTCATGACTCTTTTGCTTTTAATTTGAAAAATAAATGAGTGATATATTACATCAGTCAAAGCTGGAAACCCGAGACCTGTCTGCAGTAACTTACCATGTGCAGGATATACCTACAGAGCTATCAGGCCTCCCTTATGTTGGGCCTTTGTCTCACATTCATGGCTTAGCAAGTTGAGAGGTCCTCCTTTCTAGATCTCTCTCAGGTCAGAGCAGCAGTATGTTGATAGAGCCACGTACAACTGATGTATAGACTGTCCACTAGCTGCCGGCCATCTAATCAGGTACGAGGGGAGGGTGTTAACACTTTATTGTTGTCTTAGAAGATCACAGGGCAGGAGTGTAGTGGGTAATAGAGCTCATGCCAATTTATCTGTAAGTGTCTCTTCAAACTCCAACTTGTTTTTTAAAGGTTTTAGTCATGTAACACTTACTGTCTCTTTTGGTGCATCTTGCAGTGAATTTTACGAGCCTAATGCTCTCATAATGGAAGAGGAAGGTCACATAATTGCTGGCCTCCTAGTAGGGTTGAATGTCATTGATGCAAACTTCTGCATGAAAGGAGAAGACTTGGATTCACAGGTATTGGATATTAATAATCATCATAATACTTAGCTGTTATAAGTATTTCTGGGATGAATTGCACTCACTAAAATTATGCTGGTTTTTGATTGTATAGTTTTAGATTATACCAATTAGTTAAACAAAGGGAATACTGTAAGTATTTGCTTCTGGGATTGTATTAGTTCCAAACAGTGACACTGGGTTTTGCAGGATAAAAAGTGTCTCTCTTATTTGCTATTGTTTTTTTCTACCTTCCTCCTACTTAATATTTGCCACTGGAGGTGAACCTTTTGTACTTGGTTTCTACATTTAGATGTAACATCTTTTTTACATAGAAGTGCTGCCACAACACTTTCCACGGCTACCTACTGTGCAGCAATGATCTGTCTCTACACTGGCAGAGTGCCACTGCCTCTGTTCCCTTTGTTCATTTATTTTTTTAAATGACCAGCCTGAGAGACCATCCCTTCTGTTTCTCTTTGCTGCTGCTCCTCATTGTGATCTGCATACAGGCCACAAACAGCAGAGTGAAACTTACTGCATGGCAGAGGAGGAGGAAGTGAAAACTGAGAAATGAAGCTGGAGAAGAGAACTGAAAAGAAGGGGGGAATGCTGTTCTGACCGGGGTCAGGAGTATTAGTTTTTCGAAAAGCATGTGTCAGGAAATCGTTTATAGCTGATAACAAAAGGGAAGTAAGTTAACATGCATGTCTGATTCAGCTTATGTAGCTGGTGTGTATAGGAGTGTGTTGATCAAGATCTGCCGTCGTTCCCTCCTTCCAGTACTCCACTTACATTGCAAAGGGTAGCAACTTGACCTTCTACTTGAGCTCATCCTTGTTTTTATCAGTTCTGGGTAGATTGTTGGTATAATGGATTTATCCTAGATTGTAAATCATAAGAAATGCATTGATCTTATAAACACACCAGTGACACTGAAATTGTGTAGGTAAAAAGAGTAATATTTAGGAAGAGTTATACAGCCATATGTAAAATACTAAAATCTTCCTTTGTAGGTTGGAGTTATTGATTTTTCAATGTACTTGAAGGACACGAACAGCAGTAAGGGCAATGAAGGGTAAGTACAAAGGGAAACTTTCCTTTTTGGGGGAGGGGGAGGGGAAGGAGGTTATTTGGCTTTTGAGTAGTATTACAAGTTGCCCCATAATCCTATAGTTTTAATTAAAACACTGCAGTCATGCTGAATTCCATTTTTGTTCTAATTATAGTTCTGGGATGGAATTCAGAAAGCTAACAAAGGAAAGAACAGGAAAGTATCCAGAATCTCAGGGAAGAGGGGTTGCTTTTATTGACTTAACCAACAATTAAATCAGAGAGCATTTTACAAAGCAAAAAGGCACAGCAATCAAACTTGTGGTAGGCCATTTTCTAGAGCTCTTTCAGTTTGAGCGCTGCGTGGTTTGGGATTTTCTTTTTCCAAACAATTATATGACCAGTAGAAGAGTCTTCAATCTCTAGCATCATAGGGGGATGTATAAGAAATAAATCCCCCATTGCGTAAATGAACCAGAATGTACTTATCGGATTAGTTTGAGTTCTTGTACCTGCATATATGCAAGTAGATGTATAACACTGTATAGGAACAGGAGATGGAAAAATACAGGAATATATAAAACATACAAATATGAGTTGCTGTACTTCTGAAATCCATTAAATCCTCTTCTTCATTGATCAGAAGTTCTATCATTTTCCATTCATTTGGTGTTACCTTGAGTCTTCAGAGTGAGGTAGTTTACACTTTCCTCTTGTATTTGTCATTTTTGAAAATTAATTTGTTTTTATTTAACTTTTCATGCTGGAAATGCATGAAACAAAGTCTGGTTTCAGCTTTTGTTGAGTGGATCATAGGGGTATGGCTTTGTTTTGTTAAGCTTGAAGGCAGTACGCAGAACAATACTGGTACTTGTTTATTTGAATTTTCTTTTGCTAATCAAAATGTCTTCCTTGATTGATTGGGCATTCTGTGCAAATTATACAAACTTTGTCCTGCTAAAGGTTGTACTGACAACTTGTCCAAAGTCCAAGGGCTGTAACTAATTTATATAAAGGCACAGATTACAACTGCTCTCATCTTTCAATATGCGTATGTGTCACATGGAGGAATTCACACTCAGTCCTGTAGACTCCATCACAATTCAGATAGCCTTCTTCTCAGGTACAGATGGTTCTTAGATAGCAATGTTGTCTGCACTGACCCGTCTACTCTGAGAACTTTAAAGATGAATATCCTTGACCTTAGAATCTGAAGTTGAGAGAAGGGAGCAAAGAGAAATTTTTTCTCTCTCTCCTCTCCTCTCCCCTTCATCTGCTGAATGATCCCACTCTATAGTCTTCTTTTGGCCCCTAGACAGCCCACTTCATCAGGGAACCACTTTAGGCTCCATGCTAGGAATCCCCCCCACTTCAGCGACAACCGAAACAGGTCAAGATGGAGGGGACATTCTTGGTAGGGAAGGTTGGATGAGGTAGAACTAGCTCTGCCTGGTAGTCCTGGCCTTTCTTCCCAATGGTAACAGGCCTTCCTTTCTGTAAAGAACAATTGCCCCCTAGAGACCTCAGGAAACACCACAGAACTGACCAGTATCTGGAGGATTAAAGATGAGCTGGTCATTGCCTGTGCTTTAGCCATTCCTATAGTCCCATGAGACAATCCTTGCTTGTAGGTTGGGAGAGAACTGTATATCAGGAAGCACTGACTATTCACTGTGTCTGTTTTTCAGAGATGGTCAGATAACTGCTATTCTGGACCAGAAAAATTATGTAGAAGAACTCAATAGACACTTAAGGTAACAAGTTCTTTTCTCTTATGGTATGATCTAAGAGACATAGAGTGGTTGTTATATTTATTTTTCAAGTAACCAGTAGCTTTTTCTCTTTGATTTGACAGTGCCACTGTAAACAATCTGCAGGCAAAGGTGGATGCTTTAGAAAAATCCAACACTAAACTTACTGAGGAGGTAGGTGTAACAGAAAAGGGGTGCGTCTTCATTGCTCTGTGAAATCCTGAATTAAGGCAGAAGTGATACCTGATTCCTGAATTAAGTTGTAATGATTGCTGTCTGTTAAAGGTGAACTGGAAAGCTGAAATGAAAACTGAATTAAGCACAGGGTTGTGGTGTTTGTTGCCACTAACTAGGCATGAAGGACCCTCCGCAAAAGAATGCTTTTTAAAATTAACTATTTAAAAAAATCATTTTCTCGTCTCTGAAATCTTATTGATACTTTCTGCTTATTGGAAGGCATCAGAATGTGTCCCAGAATGCATTGTATGAGACATCTTGGCTTGCCACCACACAACGTTTTGATTAAAAAACAAAACAGAATGATACAAAATGATCATGGTACACATTAAATGGATTAAAAGCTGACTAACTGATAGGTCTCAAAATGTAATTGTAAATGGAGAATCCTCAAGCAGGTGTGTTTCTAGTGGAGTCTCACGTGGATCAGTTGTAGGCTTTTCGCTATTTACCCTTTTTTTTTTTTTAATGACCTGGAAAATAAATCATAAAATCATCGCTGATAACGTTTGCAGATGACCCAGAAATTGGGGGAGTAGTAGATAATGAAGAGGACAGGTCACTGATAAAGAGTGATCTGAATCACTTGGTAAGCTGGGCACAAGCAAACAATGCGTTTTAATGTGGTCAAATACAAAAGTATATATCTAGGAACAAAGAACGTAGACCATGCTTACGGGACAGAGGACTCTGAACAAGACGTGAAGGTCATAGTGGATAATCAAATGAACATGAGCTGCCAGTGTGACACTGTGGCCAAAAGGGCTAATATGATCCTTGCATGTGTAAACAGGGGAATCTCAAGTAGGAGTAGAGAGGCTGTTTTACTCCTCTGTATTTGCACTGGTGCAACTGCTGCTGGAATAAAACGTCCAGTACTGGTATTCACAGTTGAAGAAGAACGTTGTTCAATGAGTGAGAGTTCAAAGAAGGAGCCACAAGAATGATTAAAGGATTAGAGAACATGACTTAGACTTGAGTTCCTCAATCTATCACCATATTTAGCTTAATGCAGAGAAGGTTAAGGAGTGACTTGATCAGTCTATCAGTACCTAGGTAAAGTACAAATTGTGGATGATGGGCTCTTCAATCTAACAAACAAAAAGGTTTGATAAGATCCAGCGGTTGGAAGTTAAAACTAGACCCATTCAGACTGGAAATAAGGTATACATTTTTAAAGGTGAGGGTAATTTAATCACTGGATCAATTTATCAAGATTGGATCTTGTTCAAACAGGAATTATTTGGGGGAAGTTCTGTGGCCTGTGTTATACAGGAGGTCAGACTAGGTGCTCTCAATGGTCCATTCTGGCCTTGGAACCTGTGACTCTATGAATATTTTCAGTGAACTAGGAATTTTTGAAGAAATTATCAGAGGATGTTTGTTTTAAAATGTATTTCTTTGGTAAATATCTGCTTCTGTATCAGCTCTTACGTGGTGTTATAATAGTGTACGTTGAAATGTAAAGATGACTTTTTCCTGCATCTGCTCAAAATTTGCTGAATATAAATAAAAATGTCACTCTGCAGAAAACCCCCACAGACTGGTCACTTAGGTCAGTCAATACACAAATCTAGGTATAACTTTTTTTTCCCTTTTCCATTTTTGCTTTGTAGTTCACCTTAAAGCCAGAAATGCATTCTAATCTTCCCTGTTCTACTACAGGCCTCCTGTATGACTTTGGACAAGTCAGTTAATCTCTTTGCCTCAGTTTCCCATGTAAAATGGGGAATAATGAGTTTGGACTCTTGTCTCTTTTGTCTGTTTAGATTAGGTGCTCTTTGGATGTAGACTCTCTTAGCACAAAGGGGGTCTGATATTAATTAGGATCTCTAGGTGCTATGATAATACAAATGAAAATAATCTCTGGAAAAGAACAGAAATGGCCTTACATTTTCATGTTTTGCTCACTCCTGATAGCTTTATATAGTTGGTTAGTGAACAGTTCCAAAGATACATATTCAGATGGTCCTGTTACAAATGTAAAAAGTTTTGCAGTCTCTCCTCTAGCATCCAATTTCACTAGTGGATCTGACTGTATCTACTCATGTGGGGAAGGAAGAAAAGTTTTGTTATATTGTGCAATTAAAAATTGAGTACTTTAAATGGCAGCCTGATTATGCTGCTGTTTTTAGTTATACTGTAAAGCCTGCAAAATTCATATGCTGTGCTAATCAAACTTATTCATGTCTCCTACCAAATTAATTGCAGTACTTATCAAAGTATTTGTTGATAAACAATTTATTTTCTGGTCACTCAGTGGAGTCTCCATACTGGTTAAAGTAATAACTGACATTGTAACAACTCTGCCCACTAAAACTATTTGCGGCACATAGCTAATTAATTGTGTTGCATGTCATATCAATTAATGCATTTTGCATGAACTGTACAAAAGAATCATGGTCTTGTCAGGATCCTTTTTACCCAGTTTTGTCATATAATGAAACCACTCAACCAGCATCTTGCAATGTCATTGAGCTTTTGTTAAGTGGAGGAGGTTACATAAGTTATGATTTACAAAGTAATTCGCTCTGTGGGAAAGCTTTTCCAAGTTACTTTGGTTTGCTTCTGTATTAAAATAAGTAATCTATTGGTCATGGATGTCTTTCTCCCAGGAATTCCAACATGGAATAGGACAAAGAACCACTGCCCCAAGTAGGCCAGTGAAGATCTTTCTTCTGTTAAGATTCTCATATCGCACCCATCACTGCCTTAGCTAAAATGCCTGAGCACATTGGTATCCAAATAGTGTAAATAGCTGTCCATTCAGCCAAGTGAAACATCAGCGTCTAAGTTACAATTCTCTGGTTTTGTTTACAGCTTGCAGTTGCAAACAACAGGATTATAACACTGCAAGAAGAGATGGAACGAGTTAAAGAAGAAAGTTCTTACCTCTTGGAAAGTAATCGTAAGGTCAGTGTGTGTATGTTATGAATCTTCTTTTTTTTTTTTTTTTAAGTGGGAATCACACTTACTTGTGCCATTGGCACTCTCATTACTCAAGTCCATCTTTTGTTCTACAATCAAGGGGAACTCCATAGAACTGTTTCAAAGATTTTACTTAACCAGATAAAAGATGTTGGTATCCACTGCAGAATCTTTCTACTTTTTGAAATTATAAAGATATTTCATCAGATTTTATAAATTGTTCATACTTAAAATTCTATTATATACATCCTGCAGATGGCTAGACTGATTATACATGATGGCATTAAATAACGCGTGTTGGTGAAGGGAAATAGTAATGTCACAAGTGTGTTACTTCTGTATTAACTCAAGGAAGACTATCGATGTTTGAAAACAGCAGAAGCAAATCAACAAATATGAGGATTCTGATAGTTTGCCATCTGATTTGTTCTCTTTGTTAACTCTAGGTAACTAAGCAAGACAGAACTGCAGATGGACTTGCACTGAGTGAAGCACGGAAACAGTTAAAGGAGGAGACTCAGCTACGGCTGGTAAGCTTGGTCTAAACTCAGAATTCGGTAAAGTATTCTGTTTTATATAGTCATTCATTGTCTAACAATTAACCTTTTGCAAAGGGTATGTGTTATGGTCCAAGATGCAAGTAAGGGTGATAGTATTCCAAAGTACCTTGCTTAATAACCATTAATAACCTTGCCTAATAACTTCATTTTGTTTTAAAACAATCTACCAGAAGTAATTTTCCTGCTTCACAGCAGAATACTTACCAGATTTGGCTCAACATCACACAAAACATGCATTGAGCTTCTATTTTTGTATTTAAGAAATTCAAATGATATACTTGAGCCTACAACATGGACACCTGTCAACTATTGTTATACAGCACATGGGATAAGGGTGGGGAAAATGGTTGAAAGGGGTATTCTTGTGAAATAAGAGGTCTACAAACATTTCACGAATGAAAAATATAAATTTGGCCCAAATAGAGTTTTCTGATTGGTTGCCAGTGAAGCCATATACATAGCTATAATACTTGGCTGTTATGGTATCTGTTTTCCTTTATTTAGTTTCTAAATTCTATTTATAGTGGCAATAAGATGTTTGTAGTGCAACATGATTAATAGTATGTGTTGATGGGGTGGAGGGCAGGGTGGATTATCACACATTAGTTCAGTCGTATTCTAGTCAGAAGACTTGTTATAAAACATAATGTGTGTGTTTCAGGATGTAGAAAAAGAACTAGAGGTGCAGATTGGAATGAGACAGGAGATGGAGCTGGCCATGAAGATGCTGGAAAAAGATGTTTGTGAGAAGCAGGATGCACTAGTGGCACTCAGGCAGCAACTAGATGATCTCAGGGCACTAAAGCATGAACTCTCCTTCAAGCTGCAGGTAGGGAAGGAAGCCAATGAAATGAAATGGTCCCTTTGTAGATATGACATGTAGGAACCAACTAGACTACTTTTTTTTCTTATCAGAAAGTCATTCGTGGGGGAAGAAGAGGGTCACTTGTATACCTTTTCTTTTCCTCCCTGCCCTATCCTTCCCCATCTCCTAATCTCACTATGGATTCCATTTGATTCCTTCTACCCTCAGCCTGCATTGCGGCTAACCTTTCTAACTGAGGAAAGCTGAACGTGACTTGGTCCAGAAGCAGTAGAGTCTGTAGAAAGTCAGAGTCTGCTCTTGGATCCTTCATGTGGTTTGCCAGCACTACAAGGCTGGCTCATACCTTTTTAAAATAAAAAATGCTCACCAGATGCCGGGACTTGTGAGGAAAAAGCATCCCATGATATCTAAACACTTATCTGTTGAAAGTAAGACAGTAATTTCCCCCTAATACATGGCTGTTTTGAGAGTTGTTGGGTAAGGATGTCTCAGCAGCATGCTCCCAATCACCTGATATTGTTTTTGGAGCAGCTTGCATAGCTGGTCAGTGTTCAGTAGTTCCACTTCTGTTCCCGTCTTAACATGCTAGAAACTAAGGAGATGGATCTTTTCCCAATACTTATGGGAAATGGTGTGTGGGCAAGCTCCCTTTCTGCTGCATTTCACTTTTATTAGTGCAAATAACTGTGTACAACAGTGTATAATCTACTTTCTCTAGACTGGAGCACAAGTTTTAAGTAACTGTAGAAACTAGGATGACGCAGCAACGTTTTCAGAATCCGTAGCCTGTGGTTTTACTTCCTAATTTCATTTGCCAATTTAGACTTGGGCTGTCCTCAGTCACAGCTTATATGAGGTTTCCTTTTGTGTTCTCTACTGTAACACACAAAGTATCACTTGCTATGGTATATAATGATAAAATGAAATCATTTGTACGGGTTACCATGGACAGAGACAGGGTTTCAAAATCATAGTCCTTATAACTTCTGCTTCTAGAGGACCGCCTGCAGCATAAGCGAAGTCAGTTCTAAAGAAAAGCTCTAACGACCAAACCTAAAAGTAAACTTATATCACTGTAAACACCACGTATTTATAAAAACAAAACCATGATAGCATCTGTCTAGTAAAATCTATTATTTTAATGTATATAGTTCCACTGGTCACTGAAATCCACTAGAACAGACTACTCAGACAAAACCAGACAGCTAATGCCCAGACAGTTGACAGTTCAGGCAACTGGCACTCTTGTGCAACACAATTGATGGTGTAGTATTGATACTACATCAGTCTATGCCATGGGTTCAGATATGATACTTTATATATAAAATAAAATTCTTTATTTACTTACTCACTTACCAGGACATGGGGAAATGCTTGTCCCCACTATTAATCTTCGCTTCCGATCTTTGCCCTTTGGATCACTCCTTCTTACCTGTTTTAGTATCACCAATTCCATTTCATTTTCCAGTGTAGTTTATTTCATATTTATCACTGCTTACTGAATACATTAGGTAACTTTCCTTTCCAGAGTTCAGACCTGGGAGTGAAACAGAGGAGTGAATTAAACAGCCGTTTGGAGGAGAAGACAAATCAGATGGCTGCTACTATTAAACAGCTTGAACAAAGGTAAAAATGAAACTTATTTATTGCAAAATATAAATGTCTCCCTGTGGTATGTGGTATACTTTTGCAGGTGCTAAAAATGCATATTTTTTAGATAAACTTGTTACACAGAGCTAAACAAATATCCCAGACACGCTAAGTGCTATTTCTAAGAGTCCTTTACAGATTTTTTTTGAAACGTTAATATTATCTGAGTTGCATTCAGTGGCCTAGGCCTGCTTTCGTTGAAGTCTGTGGCAAAATTCCCATTGAATAGCATGGGAGCGGAACGGGGCATTACAACAGTGGGTCAAATCCTACTGCTCTTACTCACCTGAACAGTCCCATGGGAGTAAGTGGAACTATTCAGATGAGTAGAGAGAGCAGGACTTGGCCCTATAGCAGTAATTCCATGATAGACTGGTAGCTAGGACGTTCTTTTGTGTGCTCAGGAAAATCCTCTATAAATGAGAACATCCTGCTAAAATATCAATTATTGTAGATGCTTGTTTTATACACACAAACAGAGCATACATATATAAAAGCTAATTATTGGAATCCTTGTCAGCATTGTTGTATGTGAAGATGTAACACTGGGTAATTAATTGCCTATTGTTAATTTAAATAGGTCTGTACAGCACCACTAACACTCTACAAATGGATGACTCACAGAAGCATACAGTCTATATTAGACACAAGATGGTAGGGATGGCAATACAGTAGTGCGGGCATGAAGGACAAGGATTACAACAGTCAGAGCTGAAATATGCTTATTGTTACATAAGACTCTAGTTCTATTTTTAAAACTATCCTATATTAAAACTGGAACTTCCATCTCTGTGAAAACTGAGACCCATGTTTCTTTCTGGGAGGTCTGAAGTGCAAGAAAGCACAGTGAAACTAACTTGGGGGCTGGGACTGTAGAGGACTATTTCTGGCACTAGGAGCTAGCAGAGGTGGCGGATGGGAACAATATCCATTAGTGCCATGCGGACACATTCTCAAATACCTATCCTAGTGAGACAGTGCTGACAACCGACTACCAACTCTCACATAATTGGGATGGACTCTGAGGTCAGACGTAAAACCACTCACTCCCAGAGGAGGATCTCAGGGGGTTGCATTCCTTTTTCTTTAACATCTTTGGAGCTGAGCCTCTTACAGTTGCTTTCACAGAGGGTTCAGCTGGTGTGAATTGACTTCAAATGGAACTGTATTTATTTACTCCAAAGTGTCTCCACCTATGCATCCATCCCCATGTTATGATCCTAAATGATACTGGTGAGCATGAGAGGTGCATTTCCTAAAGATAAATGCTGTTTCACTTAGAAATAATAAAGACAGAAGTAAGGGGAATAGTTATGGTTTTTTTTACAATTATTACCTTATTCAGTAAAAGGATGGTTATTGTAGTGTGTGTAACTTTCATCAAATTCTTCTGAGTTGGTGTTTCTGTAGTCTTTTGAGTGGCTCTTTGAGAAATGTTTACCCTTTCATAATTTATACAGACATTATATTGAATGTACTACAATATCTGCTCAGTTAACTGATTTGAACTTTTCTCTTACTGATTTTTTTTTCCATTTTCCCCCCACATCATCATTCTGACATTTTTCATATAGTGAAAAAGATTTGGTGAAACAGGCAAAAGCCTTAAATAGTGCAGCAAACAAACTGATCCATAAGCACCATTAGGCATTTTTGCAACTGGTCACCTCACAACTCTGACATCGAAACTTAGTTATGAGGGGAAAAACCTTAAGAATAGTTAAAAGCAACTGTTAAAATGTTAATTGTCATTTAAAGTTGATTTGGAATTTGCTGAATTTTTAACATCTTTGGGCTTTTTTTCAGAGAGAGAAAATTTGGTAGAAGCTTCCTATTTTGCCATATAAACTTTGTTAAGCTACAGAGGAGTTGGCCAATAAATACACAAGGAAAGCTTAAGGAATGAGAGATTTGTGGCTCTGTACATACCTTTGATACGTACTGTATACAGCACAAGTCTTCAACATGAATGGGTATTAGATGTGTGGTTCTATGCCAATATCCGATTGGCCAGTTCTGGGGAAGCCAAATTAGTTTTCTCTGTTACCCAGTTATGAAGTAGACAAAGAAAATGTGTCCCTGGAAGTAGTTGAAAGTAGTTATGTGCGTATTCCCAACCATTACCCTTTCACTTTTGTTCTTTGGGTTTAACCCCAAAACAAGGACAAATGGGCATTACATCTTAATATCTTGTCACCATGAAGATCCAGTCCTCATTAACCAAGACTACTTGCAACAATTTTGCCTTAGTGACTTGGGGTGGGGAGGTAAATCAACCATAGATTCCTTTAAACTTCATGAAGACAAAATTAGTAACTAGATGTCTTAGAGTAATGTTACAGTAGAACCTCCTGATCTTTTCATTGCCTTCTACCTCTGCCATAATTCCCTCTAGAAATATACTGCAGTTCTTCCTAACTGAAGGAAGCTGAGGAGAGACAGTTGTTCTGTTGGTCTCTCCTCTTCCTAGAAAAGGAATAGTTACACATTTTACAAAAATATTCTGCTCTTTATACGTTGGGGTTAAAAAAAATGAGAGAGAGAGGAAGGATTGGAACAAGTAGTAGTTTTTTGCTGGCCAGTCCTTGTCTCAGAGTAGCTAGCCTATAACAAATCAAAATAGCTGCCTTTCACTGTTACACTTGTTACATTTGCTTCTAAGTTTCTGTTGCTTGATGCGAATAGGGAATTTGCTGAGAGTTCTGGCAAAATAATGAAAGACCAACTAAAGCTTAGAAATGGTTCTGACTAGGAAAAATAATCATAAGCTTAACATCTCACTTCAAATTTTTTAAAATTGTAGATTGGAATATTGTAAGTTAGTGTCCTCTTCCCTATGGTCGCAAGAGGTCACCAGGCTGGTCCCATACAGGCTTTAGGGTGTAAATAATTCTATAAATACTTTGCTTCAAGAAATCAAGTTTGGGTTTTTTTCTGTGTTTAATAGTTTTTTGTCCTTGTGAATTGCTTGCAAAAATTCTGTCTCGTGTAAATTTCCCACTCGGTCCTGTAGAATAGGACTCCTTGACACATAGTGGGAGACTTATATGACTCTCATGCAGCTGGAAAAACTATTAATTCGCACTGGACACACTTAAAAATCTCAGAGGCTCAATCTTGCCCTCCAGTACACAGGTGGGTATCACCCCTTAGCTTGTAAAATTGATGACTGCACAATGGCAGACTTTATAAGACTCCCTGGAAAACAACTACTAAGTATTTTAGACTGGCTGTTGAGTCACATGTTTGAAAACACAAAATTAACCTTGTGATCTTTTATTCTGAACTCATTTGAATGATCTACAGAATAAAAGCTTTCATCAGGGTATCCAAATGGCTAGTTAGGATTGTTACAACCCCCTGCCAAATTCTTCTGGTGGACAATAAACTTTCTCCTATCACAGCAATGCTATAGTAGGATTGAAGACTTAAGTATCTGGCAACATGTCTAATATTTGATCCAGAGTATAGGTTGCTGTGGTGTAAATGCCTGTGTGCTTAATCTGATGTGATAGTTGTGGAAGAGACCAGGAAAATGCACTAATTCTAAATATAGTAGATAACCTATGTTGCAAGTTCCAGTTACATGTGTAAAGCTGAAATGTAACGTACATTAAAATAAAATTTGACTTAAAATTCTGTGTACTTGAGGTTTGCTTTGAATATGGATAAAATGTTTTATGTTTATCATCTAATAGCTGTAAACTGTAGTAATAGAATAAAAAACATTGAAAATCAGAGTTTCTTCTGCCTGGTTCACCTACATTTTGTCTTTCTTTAGAATATTTTCATCCTTCCCATTGTTTTACCATACAATTTGTTTTCCTTTTTTGGGTTTATTTTTGTTTAAATTCAGTCTTCCTCCCCACCATGGCTTTTGTTTTTTATCACAAGTTCATGTGGCTCAAATCCAGATTGCGACAGGCAGAGAGAGAACGTCAGTCTGCTGAGGGGGACAACCGGCTCTTCAAGCAGGAATTTGGTGACAAGATCAACAGTCTTCAGATGGAAGTGGAACAGCTCACCAAGCAGCGGTGAAGAGACCGTTTTCTAATGTATTTATTGGGTGTGCTTTCTCTGCCAGGTCAGAAATGTCAGGGAAAACCCATAGTAAATGGGGGAGTGTGTTTATCCTAGACACAAGCAGAGTAACCTTAGAATGGGGAAGTGCTTTGATATGTTGTGGACCAAATTTTCAAATGTGGACATCTGAGTTGCAACTGCATTTTTTTAAAAAAACTTACCACTTTTAAAGAAAATTACAAAATACGTAATCAGGAAAAATGACAAGAATAGTACAAGTCCAGTGCACCATCGAACACTAAAAGAAGAAAAATCTTGTTACAAAAACAGTCTGTGGAACACCATGGGTGGAAATTAAATATAAAAATGTTCTCCAGGCAGTTAAAAGTTCATGAAGAGAGGCTGGCAGTATGCAGTTCTGCTCTAATCATGTCATTTGTATTATAGATTATAAACCTTAGAGAGAGACTAGACAGCAAACAATGTGATTATTCATAATCAGGAATGCTACCGCTATTTTATCATCTACAGTTTCCTCTTTTTCACTAGTAAGTAAATCTACTATTTTAGGAGACTGAGACAATAAATATCCTTGGGCACCAACCTAATAAATAAACCTGTATTTTTTTAATCCACAAACAGCCTTAGTTTTGGTGGGAACCAAAAAAAGATCTGAAAGTCCAGGACAGAAAACTCAGCATGAAAAACTATCATATTCCTCTTCCAGAGTTGTCAATTTACTAACATCAGGAAAATACAGACCCTTTTACCATGAAATAGAAGATGGCCTCTCATTTTGCATACATGATACATTCTCTGTCCCATGACAAGGTCACTATGAATCATCATTGAATAAAAGATATTTGACCTCTTTCCCTTTACTGAGTACCCTCACACTTCTTTTTGCCTTAAGGTGTCTGCTAAAGTGAAGTGATACAAAACAAAATGTTTACAATGGGGGGGAGGGTGTGATGACTGAGGGGGCTTTTATTAACAAATATATTTAAGCTCCCATTTGTGACACAACTATTCCCACAAACACATCATTTTATGTGCCCACATTTGAAAATTTTGCCAATAGTATAATTAGACTGCATCAAACAGGATGAAAATGCTAGTCTTTGTGTCTTTGCTGCTAGCAATATTATCAGATGCAAAAAGGGCTTTAGGTCTGGTCTACACACACACACACGTTGCACTGATTTAACTAAATTGGTTTAGAAATTAATTCGGCTAAATCAGTGCAAGCACCTTGTGTGGACACTCTTTTATCACTGTATTTATATTGATTTCTAAGTCAATTTAGTTAAGTTCAAATTCTGTTGGTAGACAAGGCCCTTGAGGTAGCTATGTTGGTGGTAAACTGCTTCCTTGAACTGGATTGCCATATTAAGAAACTGTGTTTTTGCTCTGATGAGTTTTCATACAATCTTACAGGTAAGACCGCTCTGACCTGTATGGTATTGAGTGCATCGGTGGGCACTGATCCATGTCTCAAGTGATTTTCACCCAGTTCTGTTCCCTGAGGTCCTGGGTTGTGCTCTGGAAACTTTGGGCTATGTGCTAGCTAGACCTGTGTTCCTCCTGGTTTGTAAAAACGATTAGAGAGGTATGGGCACTGTGGGTGGAAATAGGGCCTGCTTTTTTTAAGGAGGGCAGGATGCTGGTGTCTCTTCTGAGTGGTCATTAGCCTCTTTCTCTAAAAATAATCCCTTGACATTGATTAATTTTGCTACCTATTGCCCTTCACTTACCTTGATTTTTGGAGCCAGGGTGGTTCCCTACAGTATATTCTCATGTTCTGCCCAGTGTATTTCTAAAAGTCCTGAGAGCGGGGATTTCCGTCACTTTCATGGAGTTATTACCTATCTGCTCTGAGGGCTCCCTGCAGTGTTCTGTAGTCTTCATTTATCATTCACAGAAGCATAGAATATCCGGGTTGGAAGGGACCTCAGGAGGTCATCTAGTCCAGCCCCCTGCTCAGAGCAGGACCAATCCCCAACTAAATCATCCCAGCCAGGACTTTGTCAAGCCTGACCTTAAAAACCTCTAAGGAAGGAGGTGACCTCTCTAGGTAACCCATTCCAGTGCTTCACCACCCTCTTGGTGAAAAAGTTTTTCCTAATATCCAACCTAAACCTCTCCCACTGCAACTTGAGACCATTACTCCTTGTTCTGTCATCTGGTACCACTGAGAACAGTCTAGATCCATCCTCTTTGGAACCCCCTTTCAGGTAGTTGAAAGCAGCTATCAAATCCCCCCTCATTCTTCTCTTCTGCAGACTAAACAATCCCAGTTCCCTCAGCCTCTCCTCATAGTCATGTGCTCCAGCCCCCCAATCATTTTTGTTGCCCATTTTTGAGCTGATGTGCTCTTGCTTAACAGTCCCTAGACTCGAACACTTGGGATCTGCTGGCAGGGTACTCTCAGTGGAGAACCCTCTGCTTGAGAACAAAATTGCTCCAACACAGCCTAATTTTAATCTCCAGCCATGGTGGAAAGCACCCCAGTGACAAAGGTTTTGTGTGAGAGGCAGGAAGGGAAGCATCTTTAAGGATGTTCCTGGAAATTGGTTGAAGATGTTGCTTCTGATTTCATGCTATTTGGACTCTGGCAGTTTGTGTACTGTTGTTGGCAGTAGATGTTAAAAATATGACTGTATATTTTAATTAAGGACCTGCAGACTTAGTGAATGGGTGCACATTTCATACATCTAAACAAAATTAAGTTTGACTGGATTAGATCCAGAATTTAGATTCAGACTTTACGCATTGTGGGCTTGTTAAACATACGTTGGGATAATTCGTTCAGAGGTGTACAGTTCTGAAAATTCTGGTAATGAAGATTTCTTTTGTGCCCTCTTATGCTAAAAACATAAATCACCTTTTTAATAGCTGTGCATATTGGGTGATGTAAAATCAGATCACTTATCCACAATTCCCTTTTGTTCTACTGCAGGGGTCAACTTGAACAAGAATTGAAACGGGAAAGAGACAGATGGTCACCAATCCACCAGGGTATCCAAGAAAACAAAATCACAGTAGCCCAAGGCAAGGGCTTCCAGAAGATGCAATTAAAAATGGTATTGTCACTGTTCACATTTAAATATGGTTTAATTTTAGCTACTGTTTTATCTGGAGCTTCGTATCACTGCACATATGCGTTGCTGTTATGCTGCAGTAGTAAAGGTATGAGGGTAGAAGTCAGGATAGGAAAAATTCATGTAAATTTTTATTTAATTCACACACCATGAAATTGAAATTGTTCTCCTTTTTCAGCCTGAGAGGTCTTTTTAAAAGCAACAAGTTTAGTTGTAATATAAGAGTGTATCCCTCCCTCCCAGCTGTTTGACAGAATCTTGAAATTGATTGTGTTCATCAGCACTATTTACTAAAGAAAAATGCAATATAAAAGATACTCTAATCAATACATCTCATTAAGAGTAAATCACTTTAAAATAATTTCACATCATCATGAGCAGGAAGTTACCATGCTGACAGTCTGAAATAGAGTAGAACTCAAGAAATGAAGCTGGCTTTTTAATGCATAAGAGAGCAGCATTTCAAAGTTGTAAGTTCTATTCTTGAAGAAAAAATTGGTTTTCATGTTAACTAAACTTGTCTTAAAACAACTTTGAAAATCTGATCTCTCCCTGCCTTGTTGTACATTATTAGACTTGGCTGTTTCCTGGGAAGTGTCAGTAAAAGGGCAGCTCTTCCTGAGACACTAGCATAACTCTCAAGTATGAAGACAATGAAATAGTACGGGGTATTTCTGTACTCTGCATGTACACTGCAGCACCTGTTCTTTCAGGTGGCTAATCTTCACTGGGTTTCCCCAGGAGACTTCAGCAGTACTGCTCTCTCCATTGAGGGCTTCTTTAGTTCTTCAGTAATTTTTTTTAACCAGTAGCATTGATAACTTTTTTTAAAAAAAGTTAGCAATGCCTCTTGATAACTTAATTGCCAAAAGCATTGGGTCTATAAACAGCTGTTACACTACAATAACAAAAGGCGTCAGAATGAAAAAATTATTGCAGCTGGCTCTCAAAACCAGCTGCTGTTTGATCTTTCCAAACCAAAGCAAGCTATTCAGCTGCAAGGCAAAATAATTCTTTTCTCTCATTGTACATGTTTCATTGCTTCAGGGTTTGATTTTGTTTTTCTGATGTGCCCTTTTCTTCATGGGATTATCCTCCTCCATTTGTGTGTCATTGTGGAACTCTCACTAGAATGGGACATGCATGTCTTTGTCTTGGGAACATACGGGTTTAATTTACAGAAGTATCTATTTATGTAACACATCTGCTCCTTTTATTGTGTCTCGTGGTCTATGGATGGTTTACTTTTATACAGGTGTATCATTTTAACAGCAGTTTAATGCCCTGTCCAAGCTGTAGTTCAAATTTCTAGCAACTATCATAGGTATGGATCGTGCTGAGAAAGTTCTAACACGCTCCCACCCTCACTAATACAGATAGCAATTTATTTTCTTAGTCGTGTTGAAAAGTAATGCTACGTTTGGTTGGGGATTTGCCTTTGTCTCATTGATATTTGTAGAGTAAATCTATAAAGTAATATTTACCCTCCCTGCTTCTGCTATACCAGTCCAGGTGGCTGGGTTATGCTTCCTCCTTCCCAGTTCAAAAAAAAAAAAAAATTGTTAGATTACCTCTCCAAAAATCTGAAGCCAGCTTGGACATTTCAGGTTTTTTTTTCTGCCCAGCAAGAGGAAGGCAAACAGCTAGTGTGCTTAGATTGGTGCTCGTATACCACACTGGTGTGAGAGGTCAAAGGGTAGATTTTCAAAAG